AGGTATACTGAACCTTAAACAATCGTAGGTTAACTGGAATCACGTATTTGAAGTCTCAATAGTTAATAAATAAAATATCTAAGAAACTAAAAAAACTATATTGCTAAACAAAATATGTAAATCATTTCCATTAACATCTTATGTGAAATAAATATTTTTGAAATAATGAGTGTATACGCTTATATTGATCACTCTGTATTGTATAATGTTGTTCGTATGAAATTTATATTTCATGATGGTATTTTAATTACCTTGTACATTGACTATATAATTAGGTACTAACATCATTAATTAAAATACCTACATAATTAAATATAGCATAATATATCATACTCCTCACATGCAGTTGGTGATGGATTCAGCTTCATGACGTCTAAGAAAATATTGATTTGAGCTTACACTGAGAAAGAAAAACGGGGTTATTGGTTTTTACGTTTCACTTTTACGCTGTTTATTAGACAAATGAGTGTTTGGGAACAATCCGTGTTCTATATAAAAAAGTATAATACACATGTTATTATATTATAAAAATATATATTTGATCAGTTTTTCCTTACCAATATTGGCAAAAGTTTCATTGATCGCTCCAAAATAAATTATGAAAACTTCAAATGGGTTTTGGATTGCAAATGTAATAAATCATCCTACCAAATAAAACATGCGATACACTCGTAAAAATAATTATTTTTAAAACAATAATCATTGTTATTGGCATACGCACAACTAACATTTTGTGTGTGGTATAAAAATAATAAATATAAAACACTTAACAGAGTCATACGGAGTCAATTCACCAATTCACCACATACATTATTTTTCCATATTTTTCATTTAATTATTAATACAAACACTCATCTATTGCTATATATATATATATATGTTACGAGCAAATGTGGAATATCGGGCAATGTGTACAGTGCCTGGTCAATGTGGTCCTGCCCGGGCAATGTGAACCACGATGTWTATTTTTTACCAACTAATAATGTTGACTAAATAAACCACGATGTTTTTTTTTTTTTTTGTAATACCTTATAGTATTTAAAAGTTTAATACTATTATTAATTTTACTAAATATTATCATATAATATATAATGAATATTAAAAAAAAAAATAATAATAATAATAATTTTTAAATAATTTAAGTAATTTATAATGCAACGTGGTTGGGGAACCTTGTTACGATATTAGTTATCCAGGAAATGTTTTCTATTCCTTATGGATAAGTTTCCCGTAGCAGGGGGTCAGAGCACTGTGTATGAGGTATTTTATCAATAATAAGACACGTTTGGTTTATAGATCCATATTAATTATTATATTAAAAATAATACTTTACTAATGTAGATGGCTGTTAATAAATGTATTGGGGAGTTCACTCCTGGTGATGGTGACTGTCAAAGTAACAGCTGTTTGTCATTTTAATAATAATGTAATTATGTGAATGGGTAGAAAAGTGTTGAGTGTGTAYATTATGTATTTGTCAATCATATAGTGTGTGTTAAGTGTAGGTATAATATATATATATAAGGTGTAACACGGGTTATATACCGGTCGTTTTCCGACCATAGGCACCTTTTTTCTTCAATCAACATAATTTCTTCTACCGGAACACATTGTCAGCCAGCACGAAGAAAAGAAGAAAAGAAGAAAAGTAGAAACACCGAAGCGACACGACGACCAGATCGAGTCCGAAGAAACGTCGGCAAGAACATCGAACGAACATTCCTCGTACGGACCGTGAGCAACCCATACGGGCATCGCCACACTCTTTCCGTACGAGTCGACGACACAACGACCAGCCGCTGACCGAAGCAACGTCGGCGAGAATCCCGAACGAACATCTCTCGTACGGACCGTGAGCAACTCATACGGGCATCGCCACACTCTTTCCGTACGAATCGACGAGCCATAAGGAGGAACATCGAAGCGACACGAAGGCCAGTCGCGGTTCAACGCAACGACGACAAACGAGCATTTCCCGTACGGACCGTGAGCAACCCATACGGGCAACGTCTCACCCTTTCCGTACGAATCGAAGCCACAGTCAACGGGCCAGATAAAGTCATCAGACGGTCYACGTTCTTCACACGAGCCACAGGCAACGCAATACGCGGTTGTTCTCCACAATTCACCAACGGCCGCTTTTGAGAGTTTGCCTTCCAGGGCCAGATTCACGATAGCAGTCGCTTCATAGCTAGATACTAACCGTGGTCGGCCCCATACCCTGATTATATGTTGCGTATATACATATGACCCTAATCTGTGGATAGGACAGAGCTTTCCAGCTCGTCGTGACAATTCGTCATATCCGGCAGCCCGCTTTCAAGCCTGGCTGCCGCGTTAGCGAATCGGTCCCGTAACCAGTAAATAAGTGTAAATATTTATGTGAAAATAAACAGAGAAAGTGATACCATTAACCAGAGCGTTGTCATTTACTCTCAACGAAACAGGCCGGAAGGCTACTGTTTCAAAGTCTGAATTTTGAATTTAAAAGACCATATTTTCAAATACTTGAGATGTTTTAATTTAGAAACATATATCGAAATTAGAAGTGTTCATGTAATTATTTCAAGAAATTATAAAAAGGAAAAATTAATCGAACATAAATTTAAGCTGTTGCAATCAAACAATATAAATCTATTTGAATATATACCTACAATGTTTATCACATACATTTTTATCAATATAAAAATAATTGTATTTTTATCATTCCCTAACACAATTAATATTCATTACCTAATATTTATATTAATATTCATATTATATATTATAACGGTACACAATTATATATTTGCATTTGAAAAAAAAAACAATTTTTAACCATACCTGAAAAAGTGAAAAATATTTGTCATAAATAAATTCTAAGTCAGTAAAATGAAAAGGATATTTTATTTTTTTTTAAATATTTGAAGGAACTCAAAATGTTTAAAATACTGATACAACACTACTTGTAGCTTAGCTGTCGAAGACAGTTGACACTGATAGAAGTTTTGAATGGCTCCAATATTTTCTAAGTCCAAGAATTATTTAATCAAAAGTATTCTAAGTCTAAATGATTAATCTGTAGCGGTGACTGCCGTGCTGGCGTGAAGGTGCTTGCACTGACTCTGGTGGCTCACGTCTGCTTTTTGTCTATTCGGGGGCTCGGGGCTCTCCTATACAGGGACATGTATAGTCCTACTCTCTGAATTTCCCCTCCTATCGATAAGATAAGTATGTGTCCATGGTCAAATCCTGCAAATGCGTACGTGCGTATCACTAGGATACCATATCATCCCACGCTTGCGCAGCCGTTCCGGCTCACATCCTGTTATTGGCGACACACGTAATCTCAAAAAACTAATGTCCCTATTAGGTTATCTAAATAATGTTTTCTTGTCAATACGGTAATTTCGTACTATGAATACACTTAGATTAGCAATTACATGACCAAGAAACATGTAAGTACATCTACGTGTACATGCATATTTAGTAGTCTTAGCAGGACGTCAGTACATAGCAAAATAATAAAATCATGAAACCACCAGTTAAAATAGTTATAACGAATCTTAATGGGTAGGTAGGTATAAGATATATTATAGAACAATTTATAATCTGCGCTTTTAGTTAGTTTTAGATATCAATTTTCATAAGCGTTCAAAGTTTGAATTTTAACACAATACCTTATAATTACGAACATTCGCAAATTCTTTTAAGCTAGAAATTCATAAACATCTTTAATGAAGATTAAGATGCAGTATATCCGTGGGAATTTGTCACGGGTTGTTTTAAATATCACTAGCTACACCAGGTATTGAACGACAAATTAAAAAAAAAATATTTCATATAGAATTGTTATTTTTAACGGAAATGGAAGTACGAGGGTATCAGCTATTGTTATAAAATGTAATATAAATTAATGATAGTGCGTAAGTAAGAGCATAATATTATACTCTAATAATTGTTTAAAAAATACAGAATGATATTATACTGGCTTGGAAAACTGGTGATGTCAATTAAATCTAATCGATCATAAGCAAAAATGTATATAGTTACCAAATAGTTTTACGAAAAATAAATAAATGTTAAATAAATTATTTACAAATAGAAGCAACCTGCCGTTACTCCGAAAAAAAAATGGAGAAGAAAAATTACCCATGCAATGTCTGCGACAAATCGTTCTACCAAAGTGGACAATTGAAAATACATCGACGCACACACACTGGCGAAAAACCGTATGCGTGCGATGTTTGTGACA